TTAGCAGCATCTGGGAAGCTGATAGACTTCTCCTCTTCAAATGCTTTCTTCACTTGGGTTCTGGGACACTGAATACATTTTCTTCTCTTCCTACCTCTCTCTGGTCATTTCTCTGCTCTTTGGCTGGTCCTGCGTCTCCCTGAACCCACAAACACTGCAGCACTCGGGAGCTTACTACAGATCTCCTCTCTTCTCTATACCAACTCTCCAGCTCCCTGATGATAGCTCCCAAATTTATATCTCTATATCTGATATCTCCCTACAATTCCAGACTGCTTTGTTCAACTGATTACCTTATATCTTTGCTTAATAAACATTTCAAGTTTTACATGCCCTAAACGAACTCTGTACTTCCTACCCCAAAACTGAGCCAACTGCAACCTTCCCAGCTCAATTGATGGTAACTTCTTCCCGGTTCCTTGAGCCAAAAACCCTGGGAGCTCTATTGGTTCCTCTCTTCTTTTCCCACCCTCTTACTCTATCCGATAACACTATCATCTCTGTCTTCAAAAGATGTCCAAAATCTAACCACTTCTGCCACCTCTCCTGCTACAACCTGTCTCAGCCATCTTTACTGGCACACTGGATTTCCATACTAGCCTCCCACCTGATCTGCCTGCATCCTGCTTGGCCTTACAGTCTTTCCTCCCGCTATAGGTACTGGGGATTGAACTCAGGGACACTCAACAACTGAGCCATGTCCCCAGCCCTATTTTGTATTTTATTTAGAGACAGGGTCTCACTGAGTTGCTTAGTGCCTCACTCTTGCTTTGAACCCTACAATCCTCCTTCCTCAGCCTTCTGAGCCACTGAGATTACAGGTATGTGCCCTAGCACCTGGCACCAAATTGATATATTCTCTCTCTCTCTCTCTCTCTCTCTCTCTCTCTCTCTCTCTCTCTCTCTCTCTCTCTCGTAGATGGACACAATATCTTTATTTTTTATTTATTTATCTTTATGTGGTGCTGAGGATAGAACCCAGGGCCTCACATGTGCTAGGCACATACTCTACCACTGAGCTACAGCCCCACCAAGGTGATTCTTTATGAAATCAGATTATGTCTGCTCTTGTTTCGAAGTTCCTATGGCTTACCACCTCACTCAGAATAAAATACCAAGTTCTCTCCTCTCCACAGCCAGTATGTGCTGCATGACTCAGCCCTTGCTCCTCTTCAGCACCGTTTCTTGCCACTCTCTCCTTCTTCCTTCAGTTCCACACTGGCTTCCTGCTGTCCCTCATCCACCTCAAGCCTTTGCATGTGCTTCTCCCTCAGCCTGGAATATCTGTTCCCAAGATAGCCAGTTAGCTCTCCACTCCAGCGTCATCTCATCTTCGAGGCCTCCCCTCACCACCCTATATAAACAAGTGTACGTATGCAGGTGCTAGCCCCCAGATTTGTTCTTCTTCAGAGAACTTACCACCACCAGACTACACTTATTTATTTTCAATTCTACTGAAAAAGGACCCATCGACCAGCATCACACAGGCAACTTGTTATAAATGCAAAATCTTAAGATCTTACCTCAGACCTATGGAATCAAAGCCTGAGTTTTTACAGAATCTTCAAGTGATGTGTATGCACAGTAAAGTTTTGAAAGCTCTGGGCTAGTTTCTGATTACCAGGAGAATGGAAGCTTTTCTTTCCTCTGAAGATCGATGTGCTCAAAACATAATGAACTAATTAATGAGTGAACAAATGAACTATGTAGCACCTGTGGAATGGGAAGCCCAGTTGATGATGTGTACAAAGAAATTGGAGAGGGCAAGAAAGAGAAAGAGATCACAGAGAAAAAGTTGTTTCCCCCATGTATTGTAATTTATTTATTTATGTGGTGCTGAGGATTGAACCTAGGATCGAACCCAGGCAAGAGATTTCCCAATATCAACAAACCCATCTTTAAAATAAATAAATAAATAAACTTTCTTTCAAAATGCAAATACATTCCTTAAATCAAGCAGCTACTCACAACTTATTGTGAATAACTTAGATGAAATAATATTCTAGCATCTAACAGAATCAGCTAAGGCAGGGGATGATAAAGAAAGCTGTAAAATTTAACAAATTCCTGTTCCCGTGCTGAGCATTGTAACAGGCAATAGGGAAACCAGGAGGAATCGTGATATAACAAATTGGTTGGTAGTTAAGAAGACTGGAAAGCCAAATCTGAACTTTACCATTTTGCCTGAGGCCCGGATGGCAGGAGAGAATGGAGGGCGTCAGCATTCCCTGCTAAAAAGAAACTTCTCCTACATCCAAAATAAAGCGACTGCCTGCAAGCAAGGGTTCCGTGGAGATGGGAATTAGGAGAGGGAGTCTGAAGGAGGACACTGAACATGACAGCAGCTTGTTTTTTTGTGTGGGAAAGAGAAGGACCTCAACTTCCTCTGATACTAAAGCCAAAGAGGCTGGGGTGGTGTGGGTGGGAGCAGGCTTCGAACACACTGCAGGGGCCCCAGGACACAAAGGTGCTAAACAACTGCAACAGTATTTTCTGTAAACAAATCTATTTTTTGCCCACTTTTCAACTAAGACAAGTGTCTGGCTTAGCCTTGCTTAGAAAACAAGGACCAGAGGAATGCAAGTTTCAGGCCAGCCTGGGCAACTTAGCAAGACTGTCTGGAAATAAGAAATCAAAAAGGTTGGGAATTTAGCTGGGTAAACCACCCCTTCCTTCAATTCCCGGTATCACAAAAAGAAAGAAAGAAGGCGGGGGAGAAAGAAGGAACAGCAATGATGCAGTGATGTAGCCTTTGCAAATGACATGTCCATAGCAAGCTAGCCCTTTAAGTGGGACCTCAATTGTCACAGGCTTGGCTTCTCACACAACTCAGCATCAGACATTCTGCAGTGGAGGACAGTGCTGAACCACAGCTATCCAACAGAAAAAGTTCAAGACTAGGTTCTTTACTGAAAGGCAAAGTCCCCAGGCAAGTGGCATCTGTTTTGCCCTCCTCCTGTCATTGCTTCCTTCCCATAACCCCTGGGGATGCCTGTATGAAGCCCAAGACTCAGCCACCCTGGGATGAAGCTGCTGCAAGTGGAAATCAGAGAACAAATGAAAGAGGGAGGAGGTAAGACAGGGAACACACTGTTTCACTCTTTCATTGAGAAACCAGTCATAAAATTAGCAGCAAACACACAGGAAATGATGGAGCTCAGTAGATCCACAGGTGGGCTGGACCACAGAAAACTGATCATCAAGGGTAACAGCAAAAAGGACATCCAAAAAGCACAGAGGAAGCAACAAATCACTCCAGTGAGAAGGGAAAAGATGAAGGACTTTGGGGAACAACATCACTTTAATGAGTTTTACCACCATTATAATCAAAGTGTCTTTCTTAGCCCTGTGTCCTCATGACCCCTATCCTAAAAGAAAAAAGGACACCAGGGCTAAAACCAGAAGATGTAGATCAGAAGTCCCCTAAGTCAGACTGTGGCTGTCTGAAAGAGGAGCCACGCAAAATCACAGAGGTTCAGAAGGGTCTGAGCACAAAGGTTGGAAGGGAGATCAGAAATGAAAAAGCGATCAGAGGAAATCATCTGATATCACGCTGAACAGGAACAATACATGAAAGCCAAATTTCACATATTACAGATGGCTGAACAGTTTTTGGTATCTACACTCAAATGAACAACATGCAAAAGTGAATATCTCATACACAATTTACAAAACTATCAAGGATCTGATATATTTGAAACAAAAACTGTCTATTTCTGAGCCAATGGATATCAAGGCATTTATATGTGTCTTACTCAGGACTTGTTCTTCAACTGTTGTGTCAAATACACACCACTGAAAACAGCTAAAGAAGGTAAACAGTGAGGGCTACAATTCTTCAGCACAGTGACTACTGAACTTTGTAACCACCATAATCACAGTAGAAAATCCCTTAACCATCACTTGCACACCCACAAAAATACTTCATGTCAATGACCCTTTAAGTGTTTCATGGAAAGTGGGCCTTAAATAAGCTGTTGAAGACAAGAATTATTTTTAACCTGAAACCCTCTTATCTTAAGTCAGTGTGTGAGCTCCTTCATCATTAGGAATCCTTATCTAGTTTGGGGGAGGGGCACATATAGAAAAAAAAAAGAGGTCCTCATTAGCCCTTGCTAAAATCCCCAAAACTAAAGGAATGAATTCTCTGAAGTAGGAGCTCTATTCCTTGATAAACTGAATGTACCAAGAGCCCAGAATTCCATCACAAACACAAAAGCCTGCCCTTTACTAGTGCCATAGTAATCATTCTTATTTCAAAGACAATTGTTGACTACACAGTATAAGTTTTGAAGCACTTTTGCAGAATAATTCCACCCAAACAGTTACAATAGATTTCACCAAAAAGAAAAAAAAAATCCAAGGAATTACAGTAATCTATTTCTTAGCAATTGTCCAAAGGAAGCCGAGAAGCCAAGCATGATCTCTTTTAACTAGCCTCCTGCAAACAGTGGGTTATATACTTGAACAATGCCTGAATTCCTTTGCCAGCTGCAATCAATTATTTTAGGTACCTGCGTCCCAAAAGAAAAGGTATCCACTATCCACACAGAGGAGGGAAGGATTTGGGGGAAGCCGACATGGAATTGCTTAAAACTCTCTAGCCATTCCATGCAGTGAAGACAAAGTGGACATTCTCAACAGTAAGCCCCAAATCTAGTGGACGTCCCCACCTGAAACGTGTCCTACTAAAACACATCCCTTTGAAGGTGTTCTAAACACTCCATGTCTTTATCGAACTGAAGCGTGCCTGCGGGGCCACTAGGTAGGATATGCAACTTGTCCAGAAAGAAGATAGGAATGCGCCTCTTTTTTCCCTCCCCGCCCAACGGTGCCTTCCCGGGAGACAGATTTCTGACTTCCGCCGCTGTTGCAGCAGCAAAGGGCGGAGAAAATCCCAGCACCGGTGCCGCAAAGATCTCTCCAACCACCGCCACCCGCTCAGGTGCTGGCCCCGACGGGCAGCCCAGCTACTCCAGGAACCGCCGCCAAGTGCTTACCCGGGTCCGCCCGGCAATGCTCTGGAAGGGCCACCAGCAGCAGGAGTCCCAGCAGCAGCGGTGGCAACGGCAGCGGCGGCGGCGGCGCATCCTGGGACCCACGGACTCCGGGGCTCCTCACGCCCCGGCAGCGCGCGGCTCCCCAGCCGGCCTGGCCGAGCCCATGCGCCCGGGGCCGGTCCCTGGGCCCCTGCGCCGCCGGCCCAGCTTCCTTCGGGCCCCGGGGCTTCGCCTCCTGCAGAGCCATGGGGACCCTTCACACATCCAGGCCGCTGCCTCGCTCCACACCGCGCCGGGGAACCCAGCCCTCGGCGCCCCGGTCTTCACCGGGCATCTCCGGCCATGGCCCGGGCGCCGGAGGGAGGGGGCGCCGGGCGGCGCGACTTGCTCGATCGTCCTGCCTCTGCCCGTGGCGGGCTCCGGGGAGCCGCGGCTTCACCCGTGCAGGGGCCGGGGCCGGGGCCGCAGGGAGCCGCGGCTGGCGCGGGCCGGGATTCCCACGGTGCCTGTCACCGCACGCCGGCGCGCCCCGGGAAGCGAGGGTGGGACGGGCGCCGCCCGGGGCTCCCTCCCCGAGGCCGGCTCCTACAGATGGAGGGGGCGAGGCTGTGAGGATCCCGGGCTGGCGGCCGCCGGACGCGCTCGGGTCCCTCCCTCCCGCCGCCGGTGGCCGCCTCTCCGCCCCGCTGTCTCCTCTCTCGCTGGTTCGCTGGGTTCGGGGACCAGCTCCGGCTCCAGCTCTCGGGACGCGATTGCTACTGCAGCTCAGAGCGGCGCCTCATTGACAAAGAAAGCACGTAGCACCGGAGCGGGCGAGGGAGGCGAGGCAGGCGCGCGCGCGCATCCCCGCGCGGATCCACCGCGCGCCCCCCGCTCCCGCGCGCCCTGCCGAACCCCAGGTCCAGAATCGGACCCCTTCCGGGGGTTCCCAAATCGCGGAGGTCCGCATGGGGGATTTACTCCGCCTCGTTTTTCTTTTAGTCCCCCCATATAGAGGGAAGGTCGGCAGGAGAGGTCGTCTGACCCGGGAAGGGGGATATATGTGGTCATGGTCAACATGCTGAAGCGGCCAGAAAGCTCTTCAGCTTGGATTTTGGAATGGCTCTTTGTAGCGGGGCAGGAACGCTTTGTGCTGTTCTTTCACTACTTCTCTGAGGGTCGGGCGGACACCTGCATGCCGGTTTTACCCCGGAGGAGCTGAAGCGGCTGTGGCCTACTTGCAATAAAACACTGGATTAAAACACATTAGACATATTTGGTGCACCCATACAACGTGCAAAGCAGTGCACGGGGCATTAGGAAAGCCAGAGAGAAGACTTTTCCAAAAAGTCCCTCCCCCCCCCAAATAATAGAGTTGGGGCAGTCACTGCCCTGTGGGACAAATTGCCAGAGTGACTTTAATTGCTCTCCTGCTCTTGCCACAAGTTACCTAATTCGCAGGCACTTCATACATCCTTCAGTCAATAAATATTTATTGAGCACCCACTGTTTGCCAGCTACTATGTTAGGCGCTAGGAATAAAAGCAATAAGGAAAAACATCCCCTCACCAACCTGATGAAGTACAAGCTCTATTCACCCAACAATATTTATTCATCCAACAATAATGCCTGTTATTTGCCAGGCCCTGTTCCAGACACTGGGCCAACAGCCATGAACAAAAGCTCTGTAAGTAATAGAATATCAAACAGGGATAAATACTATAGAGGAAAATCAGTGTAAAAAAAATAAAAAGCAGGGAGGGTGTTGCAATGTTAAATAAGGTGAAAGGGGGCCTGAGAAGGTGACATTTGAGGAAAGACCTGAAGGAGGTGAGCAGACAGCCATGCTAGAAGAGCATTTCATATAAAGAAACCAGTGAGAGCAAAAACCCTGAGGCAGAGCTGGCGGGGTGTGTTCAAGGCCCAGCAAGCCCACTAGGGGGTCTGGAAAAGTGTTTATCTCATTTATTGTGCATGTATAAGATAGAATTTCATCTAAGACACATTTTTATCTTCTCAGAAGTCAGATGTGTCCAACAATGAGTCTCAGATTTGTTGAAGAAACTTCTTGTAGTGTCATGTCAGTGCTCAAAATTTTCAGATTTTGGAACATTGGAGATTTCAAAATTTCAGTTTAGAGATACTTGAACCAGTAAAGTTTACACAAATACTTAAAAAAAAACCAACACTGAAACACTTGTAGTACTGAGCATTTCGGATAAAGGATCCTCAATGTGCCTTGTTAAGGTTATCATTTAATCACACTCTGATGAAATTAGTTCTGCTGTTTGAGTTTGTTGTAAGAAACTTGCCTCTGGTTGAGGCAATAAAGCAAGCCACGAAACTGGTCTGAGAAACTATTGAGGAAGTCATTTCATGGCTAGGATTCAGGCAGCATCACAAAACAAGAGTAATCCCAGAAAGAAGATGGGGGTAAGGATGGCAGGCAGTCGAAAGTCACAGGGACAGACACAGGGTTCAGAGCATTCTAAAAATCCAGGACCTCTGAGAGAGAAGCGAGCTGAGCAGAGGTGGGAAGAGGGGAAGAAAAGCATAGGTTTGCTGGGCATTGGGGGCTTGAGGCACTCCTGTAATCCCAGTTACTTCTGCAGGCTGAGGCAGGAGGATCACAAGTTCAAAGCCAGCCTCAGCAACTTACTAAGGCCCTAAGCAAGTTAGCAAGAACCTGCCTCAAAATTAAAAAAAAATAAAATAAAATAAAAAGAAGAAGAAGGAGGAGGAGGAGGAGGAGGGATGACTGGTGATGTAGCTCAGTGGTTAAGCACTCCTGGGTTCAATTCCTGGTACACACACACACACACACACACACACACACACAGGCCTGGAGTGGGGCTGCTTGTTTGAAGCCTAGAACTCATATTAGAGGGAGAATAGGAGGCAGAGAGGGGAAAGAACATGGAAGCCAATGTTCTTTCATTGGGCTTTTCCTCAAAGGGAGGGAAATGGAGAGGGGACCCTCAGTAGCACCAATTCCATACCAGTCTCTCATTTAAGGGCTGAGGACACAAAGGTGGAGATAACAAGAGAGAACATGAACCCTTTAACAGCTGTAACCAGCAACACCAGCTGACCTGGTTCACCTGAAAGGAACATAGTTGATGTCTCAGAGAAAAGACCCAGAAGGGGAGAAGTCTGTGGGTGAAGCAAGAAAGGCAAGACTCAGCCACAGTCAGGTTCTCCATGAGAGGAGGGAGATTTGGGTGGTAACAGCCACGGGGCTGAGAGATAACAAATGCGTATCTCAAAAAGTTTTCTTCTGGATTGGAAATGTGATATTCCTTTCCCCATTTTTTTTTTTTTTTTTTTGCCAGACTTCGACTAGTGATTGGGGAAATTTGTCCCTCTGATGGGCTGGCCTCAACACCAGATACCATCCTTTTTCTTGAAAAGCCCACAGAACAGTAAACAGAACAGGCATGTACATGGGTAACTGTAGAGCAACATGGTAAGCATGCAGTAGAGATCTGGGCAGGTCGTTCATCACTGTGGGTCGGTAGGGGAATGCTATTTCTGCTTAGAGGAGGAGGTGAGGTAAAGAAGAAAACATTAAAAATTGAGGCTTTCCAGGCACAGCAAATAGCCAGGTGGACAGACATGACAGTTTGCAGCCTTTTGCAGGGAAGGGAAGTACTGGTGAGGGTAGCAAGAGGGACCTTGGGAATATCCTGCTTCAAGTCAGGAGAGCTAAGTTGGAGGCAGATACAAAGAGCCAGAGATCTATCTGAAGGTTGTTCCTTATGCTCATCCATTTAGGAACAATTCTGGAAGGGTTTTCTGCTGGAGCAGGAAGCTCAATGAGATCCTTGAGAGATGAGTCCTTGAGAGAAGAGTGAGTGAATGTACACACTAAAAACTGTGCAGATTTAAATTTAGGCTGTCTACTAGCCATATAACATTGGGCAAATCACACGATCTCTATAAATCCCATCTATAAAACTGGAATGATTGGAGCAACTCCCTCATTGGGTTGTCTTAATGATTGAATTGGAACTGTCAATCACTTAGAAGTGTACTTGACACACAGTAAGCGCTCAGTCTTATATATTATATGACAATTGTAACCCTCTTAAATCATAAATCCTTTATTCATTTTAGTCTACTTAACTAGGGCTTGGGGACTTTCCCTGTGTGCAAACTCATTGTTACATAGCTCTAAAAAGTCAGTATCTTTCGTGCAAAGCATTTCTTTGTCAGGGAGAGGGGGATAGATCAATCTCCAGGCAGTGGTTTCAGGCCAGCCCTTGAAATTCCTACCATTACGATAGGGAGGAAATATCTGGGCCTCTACTTTCATTCTTTTTGTAATAGGCACATCTTTCTCCTGTAGTCCTAATCACATACTGACTCTCCTTGAAACTCTACGCTGAACTCCTGCTTGCATGTTACTGGGTCTGTCCTGAGCTCTAGGATTCCAACAGTGAGTGAGGTTTTGCCCCTATACTCACTGAGCTCGATTCTTACAGTCAAATGGGGAAGAGGAGTAAACACAGAGTTGTTCATCTGCCCGTAAGATGCTGATTCTGTAGGCTCCTGTCAAGGACAGTGCTGACAGAGGGGGCTGGAGAGGCAAGCAAGAGACATACACCATGCTGAGGAAGTAAAACGTATCTTTAAAAAACCATGGTGGTCTACAGTGTCATGGGGTATATTTCAGGCATCTCATGGTTTCCTTATTTATTGGGGGGCAGGGGGTACCAGGGATTGAATTCAGGGGCACTCAGCCACTGAGCCACATCCCCTGTCCTATTTTGTATTCTATTTAGAGACAGGGTCTCACTGAGTTGCTTAGCACTTTGCTTTTGCTGAGGCTGGCTTTGAACTCTGGATCCTCCTGTCTCAGCATCCCAAGCTGCTGGGATTACAGGCTTGCAGCACCCCACCCAGCTTATTTTTTAAAAAAGAAGAAATTTAAAATGAAATTTAAATATGGTTTTCCTTGCTTCCAGTGCCCTGAAGAAAACTCTGGATATAACTGGGATGGAGCACTCACTGGGTCTCACTGTCCTGGGTCTGAGAAAAGTGTTTAACATAGCCATGTGGGTGCCCTAAACACCAGAATGGCCCTAGAGAGCCAGAAGACACTGTTGAATTAATGTCGAATTAATGTCGCTGTTGAATTAATGTTGAATTAATGAGGGAAGCAGGGAGCTATGGGAAAGTTCTGAGTAGAGAAATCATGAGTGTGACTCTTGGGAAGATGGCACTGGCCTCTTAATAGAATGGGCTACAGGAGGGTGAGATAGAGGAGGTTACTGCAGAAATGTAGGTCATTCTTATTTCCCATGGGGGAAGGGAGCTGAGGCACTGGTGCCTCACACATGCCAGGCCAGCACCCTACACTGAGCCTCGTCCCTAATCTTCTGTTTCCTGGTTTCCCTTAAAAACAGTTTCCTACGTTTGTCCCAAGGCTCAGGACAACAGGTCCAGCAAAACAGTGACAGCATCCACCTGGACCAGCTGCCAGTCTCCAGGTGGGTGAGGCTCATCTCAGTCCTCATGGAGGATCCCACCGCAGCCTAGCAATTCATCTTT